GCTCAGGTCATGATCCCAGGGTCCTGGGACCGAGCCCCGCATCGGGCTCCCTGCTCGGCGGGAAGCCTGCTTCTCCCTCTCCCACTCCCCCTGCTTGTGCTCCTGCTCTCGCTATCTCTCTGTCAAATAAATAAATAAAAATTTTTAAAAAAATAAAATAAAGAGTTTGAACAACTGTGAGAAGATAAATTACAGGAAATTATTCCAGATGTATACCATCGAAAAGAGATGAAAAAATGATAAATAAGAAAATGAGAGGAACAATCCAGGAAGTTCAACATTCACATAAGTCTTTCAGTAAATGCAAGTGAAAATGATCAAATTCATAATACTTAACATTTCCCATAACTGAAGAATGCAAGTGTCTGATCTTGCAACCATTCCAGTTTAGAGTGGAAAGAAAGGGGGTTCCAAGAGAGTAGTTTATGTTGCAAAGAGAAGGGGGCTAAATAGGATGAAGGAAATAATAGAATATCTGATGAGTTGAAATATATTCAGAAGAGATTTGCTGACTATTGAAGTGTTTGGGAATAAATTAGTGCTTGTTGCATAGGAAACTAAGAATATGGAAAAGAGTGGTGAACTTCATGCATAATGTATGCTTAGTGGCAATATAAATATCGAATGTTTATTTGAGGAAAGAGGGTGACAACCTGTTTTTGAAAGGGGAAAAAGGAAGTTTGGGGGGAGTGAGGTAGGAAAAAAATAGAAAATATTTGAAGCTAACAAATCATTCAACAGCAGCATGTGTTATTATTTAAAATATAAAGGAATTAGCTGAAATAATTTAAGATGGTCAGGGTCAACTATCATTGTTTTGTTTTGTTTTACACATACTTACAAAGGAATAAGAATCATATTGGCAATACACTTTTGTTAGCAATTTTGTGTATTAGAGAACAATGGAGCAATTGTGTATCCCCTATGACTCAGAGCAAACTAGCTTAAGTAACATGGAAATTTATTGACTCCCCAACCTGAAAAGTCCAGGCATAGTCTTTGTACACACTCCATCCCTGTGCTCAGATGAAGTGTTCACTACTCTATTTATCAGCTCTGCTTGTTGTCCTCATTGGCTTAATTCTCAGGCTTCACATGGTGTTGGAAATGTTCTCTCGCAAAGAACTTCCTTCCATAGAAATCCATGAAGTTACTCTCCTTGAAACAGTTTGAGTCACATATCCATCTTTGACCAATCACTGTAACAAAGCATGTCTTCTTCCAGCCCTACAAGTTCTCCAGTTTGAGAACTTTTTGTCCTTTCATTTCTCCTCACACATGGATAGCTCTTTTATGAGCTTGTCTCTTTCTTACCATAGTTTGTCAAATGAGGGTAACAATAGTTATATTGTTATAGCATCAATAGGTGCTTATAACTATTTCCAATCTCTTCCACTACAGCTATATGTCTATTATTTGTATGTCTGCCTTTTCAGTTGTCGCAAGAACAGCCCTTCCACCAACCAAATCTCAGTAGCTTAATAGACCCAAATAAATAAATAAATAAATAAATAAATAAAATAATAAAAAATTTATTCCTTATTCTTGGGACCCAAGTTGAAGACGCAATCCATCCACCATTATAAATATTGGCAGGCACTGTACAAAGGTAATAAACTTTAGCAGTTCTGATACCAGCAATTAAGTGCTGTAACCGGGTATTACGTGTTGTTTCTCCTTCAACTTGTTCAGAACTCTTCATAAGGTCCCATAAATCACAAGGAGCCCAGAAAGAACAATTCTACCATGGACCTAGAAGCTAGGGGAACTATAATTATTTGGCTAGCAGCACCAGTGAATACCGTATTGCCCCATAGGACATCACAAAATTAATAGGTTGCTAGTATCTGGTGAACCTGGTTCTGTTATGTTTTGTGCATTTCTGTAGAATCTAAGCCCATGAATAAGGAGAGCCCTTCTTTGATGAGATGGCAACCCATCAGAGTGTATATTTATTATCAATGCACCATATACATCTATACTTAGTTTGGTCCACAATTACACATTGTTAAGTTTGCTCTTTGAGTTTTCCATTTAAAAAATCCTATGATAAGCAACTTTTTGTGAGTTAAGGTACAAAATTCCTTTGAGAGGTTAACATACCCCTGATAAGATTTTGTGTTTAGGTCTCTTTGTCTGCTCTGGAGCCTATATACTCACCAGAGGATCCCTGGCTGCATCTCGAACTTTGCATACTCAGCTATTGGATAATGTGCTACACCTCCCGCTCAGGTTTTTTGAAACGAATCCCATAGGTCAGATCATCAATCGGTTCACCAAGGTCAGTAAAGCCACACCTCATTGAATAGCATACCTAAAAATGGTGATCCATATTTAGTACCTTGTAATAGTATTTGTAAATATATATAAATATATATATGTATATCACCCTGAAAAGATGGGATTATGTTTCGTATAGATTTCCTTACTATTTTATTTACAATTCTTGGGACATTTATAGTTGATGTATAGCAGCACCACATCTTACACACATAATCAAAATAACCCTTGAAAATTGCTGAAAGGATCCAAAAAGCATATGTGCTCTGGTGTCCACGACTCCAATTCTTACATACATTTAGCTTGAGAATCGCTGGTTGGGGCTGAGAAAGTAAAGAAAATACAAGTCTATATGAAGATAACTGGATTTTAAGCATTCTGCTTTTAAGAAAACTGTGAGCTCACTTCTGGTGAATGGGGGATAGGTGGGGCTTCCCAGAGTGTCTCTGCTTACCTACAGAGTTTCCCTCCTGGTGTTTACTATCAAACACTTAAAATTGCACCGTCCAACAGAAATGTAATGCAAGCCACATAGGTAATTTTAAATTTTCTAGTAGCTGCAATAAAGAAGTAAAAAGAGACAGCTGGAAATAATTAATTATAGTAATATATTTTAACATAGAATGTCTGAAACATTTCAAACTCATTTAAACTTGTTTAAAATTATTAACTAAATATTTCATTCTTTTTTCTACACAGTCTGCAGAATCTGATTTGTATTATTTGCTTATGGCACATCTCAATTTGCAGTAGGCACATTTCAAGGGCTCAATAGACACATATTGCTAGTGGTTCCTGAATCAGATAGTACAAGCCCACAACTGTAAAATATGCCAATATATTTGTGTGTACATGTAAAAAATTTTTGGTGTGTGTATGGGGGGAAGTGAGGATAAAACATGAAAATCAAAGTGAAAGTACCTAGCGTAATAAATGTTTGGTGGAATATTAAATCTTGCCTCATCATACCAATGTACATGCTAGCTTTTCAAATGTATGGAAGAACTTGATCTTCAGCATTTTTATCTCTCAGTGGACATTTCTCTAGGACCCTACTGAATAACTGTCACTTTTGTACAGTAACATGTCAAATGCTTGGGTCTTAAACGGATGAGAATATGGGAAGGTTGTTCTAAAGACAGGCAGAAAACTTCATATGGATATGATGCTCTTATACTATTTGGTATATGAGATAATCAGAGAATTCCCAAAGCAAGACTGAGATTAATAAAATTCCATCTCCACTCTTTGTGTCAGTTTTGTCATGAACTGAGTAGTCGTTCATCTCTCTAGATTGGGTATCTTCCTACTCTCTGGAATTTCTTAGGTCATACCTTATGCCATAGATTTGACAACATAGATTTGATTAAGTTATATGTGAATTGATGCATGACCTTCCTATGATCTTCTTTCATTGTCCACTCCATCTTTCAGTTTCTAATATTGCAAATGAAAATTATTTTGTTTTCCTGCCTCTTAGAATCTTGACAGGATCCAGCTACCCAAAAGACCACTGAACATGTTCTCAGTGGATAAGAATGGCTCACTAGTATTTTACAGAGTAGTAGATAGTGGTAGGCCAATGCCCCTGAACACCCAACTACTGGGGTTTGGACTCTGTTTTTAAGCAGAGTCTGACATTAGTCATATAAACTAAGTGCTGTGTGGTTGTCATTGGGAAATGCAAATTGCTTGATCATGGTCATTTGTTACCAGAATGTGTTTTTAACTATTACAACTCACCACAGGGGAAAAATATACGAGGGTGGATTGGGGAGGGCAAAGACCATGTAGTTAGACTTATTTGATCATTAGATTGTCACATCTGGGTAATTTTTAAAAAAATGTTTACATTAAACAATATATTTGTTCTTTTCCTCATTTTAAATCATGAAAAGTTAAAAATAAAGTGACCTGATATCATTTTTTTCAGGACATGTTTATAATTGATACACGTTTCCATTACTATTTACGGACCTGGGTGAATTGCACATTGGATGTTATTGGAACAGTTTTGGTCATTGGGGGAGCTTTACCACTCTTCATTCTGGGGGTTATTCCCTTGGTGTTCCTCTATTTCACTATACAGGTAAGTACCTGGATTTTTATGTGTATTAATAACATAAGTTCACAGTCAAGGGTTCAAGTTCAGACCCACTTCAATGGCCCATTAGTTCACGTTCTCCAAAAAGCAGATTCCAAGAAAGGATTCCATATAGTAGAGAGTTCCCAGGGAATGCCTGTAAAAGATAAAGGAGAGGGAGCCAGCAGAAGGATGGGTGAGCTCTCAGACAGTGATGCAGGTCTGATTCTGGTAGGGGAGAGAAGAGGATTGGGTAGGAAAAATGTTGGATTACGGGACAGGTCCATGAAAGATTCATTGCATGAATGGGACGTCTACAAGCAGTGTCGCCCATTGCAATGTCCCACGTGTCCCTGAAATGGGCCTGCTTTGGCACCCCTGCCATACTCAGTCATTGGCTGGAAGCAACTTGTGGGAAACATGGCCTCCATGCTCATAGAGTAGTAGATCCAGAGGGGCAGTGGCTGGGCTGCCAGTCAGCTGTGCCGCCTGCCGCAGCAGAACTGAGTTGTGCATTTTTAAGGCCACCACAGAATCTATATGGTATTTACATTTTAGCAGACAGTGAATTTGCCTGTAAATCCAAAAGAGAAACCGGTAACGGCCTTTTTGTCCTGTTATCCCTAATATCAGCAAAGGATTCCTAGAAGAAGGAAACAGATCTCTCATGATACATATCTTTATATTCCAATTAAAATGTGGTCAGCCACATTCCAAGATTATGTCCCTGGGAGGCTACAGTGTAAAAGGAAATTTTTTAACACATATTTAATTTAAAAATGCAAGTATTTTGAGGCTCTTTACATAAAAGGATGCAGTTCTTGTAGTTCAATGCTTTCCCCAAACTAAAGTTTTAAAATTCATATTGGAGTTTAATCTGCCCAAACCAGAATGTTAATCATGTTCTCATTTCTACACGTATGCTATTATTATTCCTCCTACTTCCTATGTTTTCCCTATTCTCTCTGCCTGACTGGATCTTACTTACTTTCATTTCTGTGTGAAGTGTTCTCTACCAGAATAGTGCAAAGAGATCAGATTCATCCAGGTAATTATGGATTTATTATACAGGTAGTATTGTAAGCTATTTTTTTAGACTACAAATTGTCTCACCAATGAGACTGTAAGTCCTCCAGGGAAGACACTATGTCTTAGAGCTAAAAGAAAAAAATTTAGAATATGAGGGATGGTATTGAGAATCAATCGTATCTGCTTAAAAAAAAACTCTCCTATCACAAATGAAAATGTATGTGATAGTCTTGTGGTTGGTAAATTATAATAGGATGACCAGGAGTGGAAATGAGTCCAGAAACCATATCTTGTTAGGGGACACTGTATAGGATGAGCCCTGAATGGGAATTCAAGAGCCTCAAATTCTACTTCCCTGATTCCTATGCTTGACACATCATTTCCGTTTCCAGGCTTCCTTGCTTTCCCCTATAAAAGACGAGATTTGCTTTATATCAGTGCTACTCAAAGGATGGGCCCTGGACCTATGGACCATACCCCAGACGTATTGAATCAGAGTCTCTAGTTGAACCTCTTTTTTAAAAAATCACATTTTACAACGTGTGTGTGTGTGTGTGTGTGTGTATTGTTATTGTTGTTGTTGTTAATCACATCCTAATAAAACTGGGAGGAAATAAAGAATCTATCAGGGTGAGGCCCAGAGTCAAAATTTCTTTATGATATTAAGTCCCCTTGAAGTCCCAGAATGCCACAATCCTCTGTGTTCTCCAGGGTACTTGCACAGAGCAGAGTCAACTGCAGGTTGACATGTAGTTTCACATGGGTTTTTGCTCAGCTTGTTCATTTTTACCAAAATGAAGACATTTTAAAATCAGGGATTTTATGTAAAACTCCAGATCCAAAGATTTTCTTGAAAAGATTGCAAGATGTGGAAACTCTTGATTTTCATTTCCAGTTTGTAGCAATTATCTGGGGCTATGAATGATGGCCCAGTTAACTCAGGGCATGCTCCCTCCAGCTCTCCAGTCTCCACTCATCCCAACTAGTCTCAACCAAGCTAGAGGAGAACTAGCCAATTGTATTGATGGCTGCACTGGTGGGTTTTTTTTTTTTGTCAACAAAATAAATAAATAAATAAATTTTTCCTCATGATTATATTTAGGTACAAAAATACTATTGTTTGTACACTTGGTTGACTTCCTTCATTTAATGCGTTAACTCCCTAGTCACATTTCCAACCTGTGACATAGAGCTTCTTCCATAGTAGGTACTCAATAATGGTTGTATGAAAGGATTATCGAAGTGGAGCTTTGCCCAATTCTGTTCTAGTTATGCTGTCCAGAATTTGGGCTTTTTACTGTTCCAAGCGTGTATTCATTTCTTAAGGCTCCTGTATGTAACAAATTTGGTAGCTTAAAACAACAGAAATTTTATTCTTTCACATTTCTGGAGGCTAACAGTTCAAAATCAAGGTATAGGCAGGATTGGTTCTTTCTGGAGCCTTTGAGGGAACATTGGTTTCATGCTTCTCTCCTAACTTCTGGTGGCTGTCAGCAATCCTTGGCATTTTCCTTGGCTTATGCACATATTACTCCAGTCTCATCTTCACATGGCTTTCTCCCTGTGTCTTTGTCTTCTCTTTTTCTGTCTCCTACAAGGACACTCAGCATTGGCTTCAGGCCCACCCTAAATCCAGGATGATCTCATCTAGAGATCCTTAATGACATCTGCAAAGATTCCATTTCCACATAAGGCCACATTCACAGGTACTGGAGTGAAAGCTTGAACTTCACTTCTTGGGGTCACTTAAATGTCTTGCCATTTTCACACCATTGAAGCAATTTCTGCTACATCTTTCCAACTGCCTCTTTCTGTCTTTGGGTTAGAGATACTATGTGGCGAGTTCTCGGCAGATTCGACGGTTGGCAGGAGCATCTCGCTCTCCTATCATTTCACACTTTAGTGAGACTTTATCAGGGGTGTCCACTATCCGGGCATTTGGACATGAACAGAGGTTCATCCAGCAAAACAAAGAGGTGGTGAATGAGAACCTGGTCTGTTTCTACAATAATGTAATTTCAAACAGGTAAGTCATATCAGTATACCTAGTTCAAGACCAGTCTCTTTTTAGATGTCTTGTGCACTAACTTTTAAAGGGAAAGAGTGTTTTGTAATGGCATTTTATCAAATTATTTAAAAAAAGAAGAAAACCTTAAATGTTTCTAATATTTAATATACATTTAAGTTAAAGTGCATCTGTTTATATTCAAATAAAAAGTACATGCTACTTTACATGAAAATAAGGTCCCAAGTTTTTTTTCTTTAAAGATTTATTTATTGAGGCACCTGGGTGGCTCAGTTGGTTGATCCCAGGGTCTGGGGATCAAGTCCTGCACAGGGCTTCCCCTCTTCTTTGGGGGGGCCAGCTTCTCCCTCTCCCTCTGCCTGCCACTCCCCCCTGCTTGTGCTCTCTCTGTCAAATAAATAAATAAAATCTTTAAAAAAAATTAAAAAATAAAGATTTATTTATTTGAGAGAGAGCGATAAAGAGAATGAGTGGGGAGAGGGGCAGAAGGAGGGAATCTTTAAGCAGACTCCCCGCTGAGCATGGAGCCTGATGCGGGGCTTGATCCCGTGACCCATGAGATCATGACCTGAGCCAAAACCAACAGTTGGATGCTTAACCCGCTGAGCCACCCAGATGCCCCAGGTCCCAACTTTTTGAGGGTTATATAGGATGCTATTAGAATTACTAATAATATGACTCTATGTTATATTTTGTATTTGTAGAATATATTTTATTTACATACAATAATTTATATTTTAAATTTGAGGTTATCATTTCACATAAAGGAGAAAAATGAAATATTAAATGGTAGCTGGACATGTTTTAACTTTTGGAGACTAATTTTATCATGTAAAAAAGGGTATGTAATTGGAAAGGTGATCGATTTTCCAATAGGATTTTAAAATATGATGCATCATTTTAGCTGGTGTTCTTTTTTGATTTTTAATTCTGATTAAGTTTTAAAAGCAAAGTTCTGCAAAAGTAAAGTGTGTTTTTATGTAGAGGGAATCCTTTAATCTATCATCACTGCAACGATCCTATTTTGATTGAGTTCTAAGTAAGTGAGGAAAAAAAGGAAGCAGCTATTGATGTTTACATTTTCATTTCCCAGAGGAGAGTTCATACTAAGTGCATCAAAACTTTTGCATCTCAGCTGAGGAGTGTCTTCCATTATCACAGGTGGCTGTCTGTTAGACTTGAATTCCTTGGCAACATAATGGTATTCTTTGCTGCACTGCTTACTGTGCTGGCTGGCAATTCTATAGATTCAGCAATAGTTGGTTTGTCCATATCCTATGCCCTAAATGTAAGTAATAATGATTTTGTGGTATATGATATGTTTATAATCCAGTTAATTAAACTCTCTTCTCCTTTGCCTGTCTGAATTTTATATGGTATTAACTAAGTAATGAGAGACAAATCAGGATTGCCCTGGAGGCTCATTTCTTCCTCTGTTGCTACTAGCAGGAAGCTGGCTCAGCAGTTCTAAGTGAGCTCACAGAAACAACAGGCTGAGTGCTAGAAGACTCAGAAACTCCTGGGGTTGCATAGTTACCTAGAAGTTTCCTGTTCTCCTATCCTTATAAATTTATAGAATGTAGCAGTGGTAGGGCCTCTCTCCACCGTGGCCTGTCCTTCCAGTTTGCCCAGCCTAACCAAGGAGATGATGCAAACTGGGGAGAATATAGGCTCTGGTGGTTCTTTGCTTGTAAGTTTGTCCCTAATAAGCCCTATTTTATATTACACTGGAAAGCACTAGTGTATCAGTGTGTTCATGACCTCTTTGTAAAATAGAATATTCCTTAAACTACTAAATATACTTACACATTATTTAGAAGATAAGTCTAGATGAGTTGAGTGCCTACCCTTCATCTCTTATCCAAAATGCTTAAGGCCAGTTGCATTTCAGAATTCAGAACTTAGGCTTGTAGGAAGGAAATATGATACACATACCATAGTCAATGTTTGGGGCAGAACCCCATAATCAAACTACTTGTTCTGCAGTGAAATACGTGCATGTTTACCCTAAGTAGGTTAAATAAAGACTTTAAAGAACCCCAATCAGTTCTCAAGTCAGGTTGGCCATCAAATGATTTGGCACCAAACTTGAGAAAAAACTGAATTGGCAGAGTTTTTTGACTTTTAGAATTAGGCTTGAATTACAATCTGTATTTGTGGGTATGGTGAGAAGAAAGTAGAGTTAAAAAAAAAAAAAAGGAAAAGAAAAAGAAAAAGAGGAGACAGTAGTGGTCAAAACTTAGGAGAATCCTCCTTCCGATAATGAGGAATGCCAAAAGTAATATTGTGCACAACTTTTTTCTCACTTGGGGTGTACATTTCTTTCTTTCTTTTTAGATTTTATTTATTTATTTGAGTGAGAGAGAAAGCACAAGAGGGGGGGAGGGTCAGAGGGAGAAGCAGACTCCCTGCTGAGCAGGGAGCCCGATACGGGACTCGATCCTGGGACTCCAGGATCGTGACCTGAGCCTAAGACAGACCCTTAACTGACTGAGCCACCCAGGCACCCCGGGGTGTACATTTCTTGAAGCAGATCCCATCAATATTGGTATTCATCATTCCTTGCACCAAGTAGGGACTCCTTCAACATATGTTGAACTATATCTATTCTGCCAAAAAACAATTATTTATGATATGTATGAGTTTAATATACTTAAACACTTGTGTGTTTATGCTTACTTCTAAAGTTGTTGAATAATCAGAAGAGATAAAGCATATGAAAACCATGAAAAGTGAAACTTTACAAAGTATTACTAATATTATGTAAAAGACTAAAGAACCACTCATGAAGGTTGGGTTTTTTTTCCTCCAGATTACTCAATCTCTGAATTTTTGGGTGAGGAAAGCTTGTGAAATTGAAACCAATGCAGTTTCCATTGAAAGAGTTTGTGAATATGAAAATATGGATAAAGAGGTAAGCACTCCTAAATAACCAATAAATAGATGCAAGATTAAGATATTTTAATGCGGGCGCCTGGGTGGCTCAGATGGTTAAGCGTCTGCCTTCGGCTCAGGTCATGATCCCAGCGTCCTGGGATCGAGTCCCGCATCGGGCTCCCTGCTCCTTGGGAGCCTGCTTCTCCCTCTGCCTCTCTCTCTGTCTCTCATGAATAAATAAATAAAATCTTAAAAAAAAAAAAAGGATATTTTAATGCACCTTAAATTGACATTAAAAAAAAATAAATCTTAAAACCTGCTTTTCCAAATTCATGTTGTAATATTCAGCATTTCAATGAAATTAAAACCCAATCTACTGTTAAATACACCATTATTTTATAGATCACTAAAATAGAAAAAATATCAGAGTTAAATAAATTGCAATAGTACATAAATTGGAAGATATGTTGTATTGTAAAGATTAAATATGATTACCTGTTTTTAGAAGGCACAATGATTTGTCCTCTACCAATGTAGAGTAAAATATGCAACCTAAGATTATAACTTCGTGAGGATTTTACATTGTGAAAAGTGTCTTAGTATAGTCATTTCATAATTGAAGTCTGTGCAATTTTTAAATTAACTACATCTTTATTATTTATACTTTCTGTTCCATTTACTCATCATTAACGTCTCTATGGATAGAAAGGAGGAGGAGAATAAATCAGTCTGTTTTGTTCCCTTTAATTAATTATAATTTAGAAAGGAGAAGGATTAGACTATTGGCAGAGTATAATATTTGAGTTATCTTCATATTTTACTAATCTGGGTTACTTCTGCTTCCCAGTTCCATGAATTAACAAGGCAAATGTTAAAGTTGACTTGACTTTCTTTATCTTCTTCAATCCACCTATAAAGGTATCTGAATCATGAAATGTTCCTCTTTTGCTTATGACTCTCAGGAAGAGGTGTCCCTCCTTCAAATAGAAACCTGAGTTTCCACTTATATTTTTGGTAATATCTGTTCATGTCTTCTGTCAGACTTTGCTCCATTAACCACTTCCTTTAATTTCTACATCTCAGGACCCTGACCCCCTTGCCTATAAATAGGCTAAAATATTATCTACATCCTCCAACTCCTACTTAAATTTGGAATCTTCTCCTAGATTCTTCCCCAGGTCTTACCTTCCTTTTTCACACAAATTTCACGGAAGATTAATCTACCTTCACAACCTCCAATTATCAGTATTCATTTTGCTCAGTCTGTTGCCATGTGGTGACCACTATATAACTTTATTGTTTTCTGTATCTTCTAATTTTTTGTATATATACTTTTGTATATAAACTTTTTGTTTATGTACATACAAATTTTTAATATATATTCTTTTCATATTGAAAAAACAATAAAATGTGTAAAGCACATACACCCACACATTTTTTTTTTAAATCATCTTTATGTAATTTGATGCAGGTATGACAAATACTGTTACAAAAACTCTTGATGTGGAAGAAGTAAATTGTTCATATAATTCTGTTTACCCTTCTGTAACCCCATTTCTCTGCACCTTTTTACAGAAGAATTTTCTGGAATAGCCTATATGTCTCTCATTCTATTTTGGACTCTCTCCAAACAGGCTTTAAATCCCACCACTCCACTGAACCTGCCCTTGTCAAGATCACCAGTGGTCTCCTGTTAGTCCTCACTTGACCTGATCCATCCTCTGACACTGGTGATCACTCCCTCTGATGAAAACACTTCACCTCGCTGCCCAGACACCACACTCTTTTGCCTCCTGTTCCTCCAACATCCCAGGCAGGCCCCTGTCTCAGGACCTCAGCACGTATAGTTAGTTAGTCGTCTGCCTGGAAAGCGCTTCAACCCATATCCACGTGGCTTGTTCCCATATCATGTCCAGCCAAGACTTCCCTATCCACCCTATGTAAAATTACACCACCACCACTAACCTTGCCTATCTCCCATCCTCTGAAGCTTTATCACTGTCTAACATTCTACATATGCTGTGTGGTTCCTTCTGTCTCTCTCTGGCATCCTGTATGCTCTGTAAGGGCAAGAATTTGTATCTGTTTTGCTCAATGATAAATCTCCATCAACTAAAGCACTGACTAGCATAGTAAATACTCAATATTTGGGCAATGAATGAATGACAAACTGTCCCCCATCTCAGCTAAAATTTCAAACAGGTTACCTTCAGCAACTTTGTAGAGTTTTAGAAGATTCTTCTTAATAACTGTATAGGAGATGGGAAGCCTTGTTACCTTCAAAAACTTATTTCTAAGCTTTTCTTTAACTAGATGAGAAGTTTTATGTTGGTAATATTTAAAACTATTTTCAGGAGATCATAATATCCATGAATGTTTTCTATCACTTTTGTTTATATGCATGATAATTACTTTTTGGAGGAAAAGGTATTTTTTTTGTGGTTATTATAATATTTCTTTGTTTCAAGGCACCCTGGATAATGTCTAAAAGACCTCCATCACAATGGCCCGATAAAGGGATAGTGGAATTTATTAATTATCAGGCTCGATACCGAGATGATCTTGGTTTAGCATTACAAGATATCACTTTCCAGACTCATGGTGAAGAAAAGGTACCATATATATTTCAGAAGTTTCATTTTCCCTTTTATCTGAATTCATTCATTGTTAAGGTCAAACTATGATATGGTATTGAATATAAGATGGTCTTTGTTCAAATTTCATATAAAAGTAATAAACTCATGTGGTTGGTATATACAGAATAAGTTTTTCCTCTTTAAAAAAAGGTATTTTTAAATTGTGCATACTATATTATGAAACATAATCTTAGCGTACTTTGTTTTTTCAGCTTTATTCAGTTATAATTAACAAGTAAATATTGTATATATTTAAAGTGTACAACATGATGGTTTGATATATATAGTGAAATGATACCACGATCAGATTAACACATCCATCACCTCACATAGTTACAAGGTTTTTTGTTTTTGTTTTGTTTTGATTTTTTTTGGATGTGGTAGGAACACCTAAGATCTACTATCTCAGCAAATTTCAAGTATACAATACAGTACTATTAACTATAGTCACCTCACTATACTTTAGATTGCCAGAACACATTCTTCTTATTCATCTGAAAGTTCATGCCCTTTGACCAACATCTTCCCATTCTCCCCACCCCTCAGTCTCTGGTAACCACCATTTACTCTGTGGTACTATGAGTTTCACTTTTTTAGATTCCAAATATAAGGAAGATAGTACAGTATTTGTCTTTCTCCATCTGGCTTATTCCACTTAGCATAATGTCCACCAGGTTCATTTATGTTGCCACAAATGGCTGGATTTCCATCCTTTTTATGGCTGAATTATTCCAGTATATATGTGTGTGTGTGTGTGTGTGTGTATGTGTATATATATATATATACACACACATTTTCATTATCCGTTCTATGGACAGACACTTCGGTTGTTTCCATATCCTGGCTATTGGGAATATGAACATGGGAGTGCAGATTTCTCTTCGAGATACTAATTTAATTTCCTTTGGATATATACCTAGTAGTAGTATACGTTATTTTTACTTCCTTTATTAAGTAAAAAGCAATAATAAGACAATAAAATTAAGTTACCTAAAATACAGTAAATCTATAGGAGAGAATATTTGTGTAGTCATTGACACCATGTTTTCTGGGATTATTAGTGAGAAAGGAATACACTTCAGATGTAATTTGGTTAATAAAAGCTATATACAAAACTGTTGATAGTATATCAGTTTTCTGTTTTAAAAAAAAGCAAACAGGTAGACTACATTAGCAAAAATCCTAGAAGAACAGTAGTAAAGCATATATCGTGGTTCTCTTCAGGTGACAGGATTGTAAATAATTTCCACTGCTATAGTTTTTCTCCCATTTTTCAAAATGTTTTATGAAAACACATTATTTCCTTAGGAAGATTTTACAAGTAAATAAAAGTAAAAAATGAAGAAAAAAATTGACAACAGTGACCTACTTTTCCTTTTTCAAAGACCGGGCTTTTATAACCCCAAACATCTCTTTTTCTAACCCTCTAAACCATGTCCACTGCAGTAACATCAAGAATAAAAATTGTCTTTGGAACAAAGGAAGTCATTGTGCAATTTTGATTATCCCAATTAATTCAACAGATTCCTGATGTTTCTGGTATAGTGTGTCAGATTTAAGATTTAAGATCTTTTATCAGGGCAAACCAACCTCCTTAATGTTTTCTCTGCCTAATGTGCCCATTAAAACCAAGACACAAATCAGCACCCAGAGGGATTGCTTTAGTCCTCATGGTCAGAGGAATATGTGCAGTCACTTGATGTTTATGACAAGTTGATTATTTTGTCCATGAATCTAAGATCCTCAGATGTTACCCATAGCCATCCTCAATAGTTTTAATGCCAGAGTTATTTTGATACACCAAGGAAATTTACAAACATCCCTTTGGATTTTCTATCCTGGCAAAGAGTTCCTGTCCCCTTTGTTTGTTTGTTTGTTTGTTTTATTTGGAGAAGGAGAGTAGAGAAGCCTCATTTTGAAAGGACCAAGAAAACCACCCTATTATCAGAGTCATCTTTGGCCGCACTCTGAATAGCTAGTCCCAGGATGGTTCAGGGGTGGTTTGCTCTTCCTGGGGCTGCTGGCATGCTCTAGTCAGGTGCTCATTAAATTACTCAAAAGTAGAGAAAAGACACATATTAACCTGAGCCTTTCTAGGGAGTAATGAGTATTTGGATAAAGACTGATCCTTGGAAGTCAACATTATGTCTGCCATGCCAGGCAGGGTGATTCTGTTTGGCAAAATTAAATCCTGCTGACCCGATACCTAATGTATTTGTTGTCAGCGCAAAGGTCCCATTCCCTTACCAAAAGCACAGTGCAAACTGTTTATGATCATTTCATTACAGATTGGAATTGTGGGACGGACTGGAGCAGGCAAATCAACGCTTTCAAATTGTCTATTTAGAATTGTGGAAAGATCAGGAGGCAAAATTATTATCGATGGTATTGACATATCCACTATTGGACTTCATGACCTTCGGGGCAAACTTAATATTATTCCACAGGTAGAGTCTATTTTGTCAGTAGACTTTCTTAACTCCCTTTAGTTGATCTTCTTTTTTTTTAAATGTGTTCCTTCCAAGCATCCAAATTCATTTTTAGAAGCCAGAGCATTTGAATGTGTAATGAAAAATCACTACATAACTGAATCCTATTAAATACTCTTACTCTAAAACATTCTTCCTAAATGCATTTATCCATTTGAAAAACTGGTATGTTGCTCTAAGTTTCCTTCATAATAGTAAATGCAAACAAAATTTGAATGAAGAGATCAGACTGAAATGCCTTGGTATTTTTTGAAAGAAAAAAAATACTGAGGCTTTTGCCTAATTGGTAGAGGGAGTGTAGAATTTTGCCTCTTTGATTTGAAGTTTGAAAACATTTTAAAAGATGAAAAGAACAATAATTCAGTTAGATCATTTTTTTCAAGTCCTTTGATTTGTCTATCTATGGCATCAAAAGAACTTGATCATTAACAAATATGCAAATTGGCTCAAGAATATGCACCTACAGTCAAAGATGACTTATTCAGTTGAGTTTGAGAGATTTAAGCTGAGTATTTATGAGATACCTTTGTATTTACCTTGAAAAAATATCTTAAAATATAATCTCTTTTTCATATTGTTTAGACATATACTCGTATTCATGAATTTACTTCAAAAGCAAATTTGAATGAAATTCCGGCAGGGAAAAAAATTTAATGAAGAAAAGAGATATTAGTCGTTCCTCTCTTACAAATAAATACAGGTGTAGTAAAATACAGTTTCACCAGGCATGTTGGTGTATTGGAAAGAGCGTGACTTGTCCTATTCAAATTCTACTCAACCACTCACCTTCTGTGTGGCTTTGAACACGAGCTCTTTGGACCCTCCAGTTCAGTCTCTTTAAGTGGGGATATTGACTTCCATCTTTCTGAGTTGGTGTGCTGATTGATAATATTATATACATACCATAGTTTGCATTTATTCTGTTCTGTGTTCTCTCTCTGACTAAATGGCACCGATAGCACCTACCATCATCATTATTGTGGCTGATGTTGACATTGTTAATGAGAAGGAAAAAGAGGATCAGGAAATGTATAATGATTTAATCTCACTTACAGCTTACCCTGATTCTCTTCTGCTTTTGTTTTCAATATAAAGTGAATTTTGTAACTATTTAGGTTTGATCATTTTGCTTTTTATTTTCTGAATCTGATTTTTTAAAAAATGTATTTGTGCCTCATGAGACAGTAAAATTACTGGTGACAATTTTATTCTCTAGGATCCTGTTTTATTTTCTGGTACCCTTCAAATGAACCTGGATCCCCTAGACAAGTATTCCGATAGCGAGCTGTGGGAGGTGCTAGAACTGTGTCACTTAAAAGAGTTTGTGCAGTCCCTTCCCAAGAAGTTGCTGTATGAGATTACAGAGGGAGGTGAAAACCTCAGGTAAGCTGCTAAGAACAAAGCTTGGCCAAGTTACTCATTCCAAGGCTCCTTAGAAACTTTGAGTTAGCCTCAAAGAGAAGTCGCTCCTCCTGAGTCACCGAGGACCTCCTTTGGTCTGTTCAAAGTGCACGATTGCTGATTCCCTCTAGGGAAGAGGGACAAGGAATATAATGGTAACCACTGGCTGGGAAACCTTTGGTGAAGGAAAGAAGGGGGAAGAAAGGAACGATCCGGTATGGAAAGTTTGTTTAATTGACTCTTCTTTTGTGAAGACTCCTATTCAAATAGCTTTCTTCCTTAAAAATGTTGTAAGGACTCCTTTCTCCTTCATGGCTGTCTGATACCCAATGACAGTCCCTTTCACGTGGTCAGAGACCCAAGGAAAGTGAGCTAGGTCCCCTCAAGCCCTGCACTGCTTGACTTGGTCTCTCTGATTGCTCTCCTTACCTCTGTCTGTTTCTGCCACATTGGCCTCCTTGCTGGTTCCTGAATATGCCAGGCCAGCTCTTGCCTGCCTCAGGGATCTTGCACCCGCTGTTCCCTTTGCCGGGAACAAGTTTCCACTGGAAATCTGCGTGGCCCACTCTCCCCTTCCAAAGGGTCTTAAATTAAAAGGCAACGCCCTCAGTCCAGTGAGGGTTTCTTTGGCAGGCCCATCTAAAATGTCCACCCCAGGCCCGCACTCTATACCCTCCCTTTTTGTGTGCTTGAATTCTTCTTATTACGATGCATTTTACTCATGTATCATGTTTATTTTTTTCTGTCTTCCCACAAGAATGTAAACTCCACGTAGAGATTTTTGTCTCTTTTGACAAAATAAATATTTCTTGAACAAAAGAATGAATGAATATGTGACTTAGAAAGAGAGTGAGTAGTGATATAATCAGAATTTTAGAACAGGAAGTGTGTAACCATAAAGTCCACCGTAGAAATTACTTTACTTCTTTTTTTTTTTAACAGCGTTGGACAAAGGCAGCTTGTCTGTCTTGCTCGTGCTTTGCTTCGAAAAACAAAAATTCTCATCTTGGATGAGGCAACAGCCTCCATTGATTTTGAGACTGATAACTTGGTGCAGACCACAATCAGGAAAGAGTTCTCTGACTGTACCATCCTGACGATTGCTCATAGACTGCACTCTATCTTTGATTCAGATAGGTATGCTTTATTTGTTTTCAGAAACAAGACATATCTATATCTCCACAGGGATAGCCACTGAATATACCAAACAACTAATTGCCACTAATAAAGGATTGTATCCATACTGAGAGATACAAAATTTTCCTTAATAGTAGGAAACATATTTTCCAAACAATTAGAAGAATATGTTAATGCTAAAAGAATATTAGAAAACTGGAGGGGCGCCTGGGTGGCTCAGTTGGTTGGGCGACTGCCTTCGGCTCAGATCATGATCCTGGAGTCCCGGGATCGAGTCCCACATGGGGCTCCCATTTGGGGCGGAGCCTACTTCTCCCTCTGACCCTCTCCCCCTCTCATGCTATTTCTCACTCTCTCTCTCTCAAATAAATAAATAAATAAAATCTTTAAAAAAAAAAGAAAACTGGATATACTTCTTGAGTTCAGTAGTACCCATATTTTGTAGTGACATAACTCACACGGTAATTTACATTTTACATTAGCAAGAAAAACAAGGGTAAGCCGGAAAACTGATTAAGGTTACCTGACTGGATTCTTTTCACATTGCAGGGTACTTGTTCTAGACTCTGGAAGGATTACAGAATTTGAAACACCACAGAATTTGATATTCCAGAAAGGACTTTTCTTTGAAATGCTAACAGAAGCTGGAATACCAGAAGACTCAGTGACAAAATAATAAAAACTTTTAGCTATAGATTGATTATACTGAATAAAAAATAGATTCGTATTTTAAAAATAACAATGGGGAGAACCGGAAAACTGATTAAGGTTACCTGACTGGATTCTTTTCACATTGCAGGGTACTTGTTCTAGACTCTAGAAGGATTACAGAATTTGAAACACCACAGAATTTTATATTCCAGAAAGGACTTTTCTTTGAAATGCTAACAGACTGGAATACCAGAAGACTCAGTGACAAAATAATAAAAACTTTTAGCTATAGATTGATTATACTGAATAAAAAATAGATTCGTATTTTAAAAATAACAATGGGGAGAACCGCACAAAGGCAGGCCCCTGGCTACATGTTCGCATAAATACCAAAAAGCATCAGAGTTCCAACTATCCTGGGCTGCACCCAACCTTCTCTCTTACACTCATGCCCTCCGGAATATCTGCCTTCTCCACATTGCCCAAAGTACTACATGCCATGTATCCTTTAAGTCTCTGAGTTCATTCAGGAGTCATCTTCTCTGTGAAGGGTCCCTTGATTTCCCCCCTGCTCTCCGATCTGATCTAGCTGTCCCTTTTCTGTACTCACCATCCCCGTGTGCATACTGGTGTCATGACAGGGACCATACTCTTATTTTAATTATTTTAGTCTGTCTTCCCACTAAAGCTACTTGAAGGCAAGTACCCAGTGTCAGTCATCTTTGTATGTTGGGTTCCTAGCATAGTGATTTTCATCTAGTTGATACCCAACCAATGTTTGAAGAATTAATGACTTGGCATTTTCGAGTAATATAATACAGGTATTTATAGACAGACATAATACGTGTTGAGCTACTGTACAGTATATAAAATGATGGGGGAATCACAGAAAAAATATTAGGAGTTATTCAGTTGCTTTTTAGAAATAATATATTAACTGTATTTTATGGTATACTTTATTTTAAAATAATATTTTATAATATTTTTTACTATAGACTTTGAGTAAAAAACAGTACTTTCTATGCAACATTATTTTTGGCTGGATTAACCTCAGTGACTTAGGTATCAGATAGTATACATTCACAAGAAGATTGTTGGCTTGTAATACTGATCATATTTTGAAGGACTTTTTAACTGTTTTATGTAATAGAAGCAATATTATTTCTTGAATTGCCCTTCAAATTTGAAGTATTCAAATTTAGTGGCATTTTCCTTTTAAGATGATTTTAATAAAATGTTTTAACATGTTCTTGAAGACCTATCAACTGTTTCTTTTATTCACCTTTTCTCCTTCCTGTGCATAACCATGTACAACCTACCTTCATCCCCTACAGGTATTTATGAAAAGTTGCCTGAAGTTATAAAACCCTATATTATCTAAAGCCTCCTCCCATTAGAATCTAAGCCACTAGAAGTGTTATCCTTTCTTTACAATCCCTGAAGTGCCTATCAGTATGTTTTGTACTCAGTAAATAATGAATAAAATATCTGTTGAATTCCATTAAGAAAGGGATCTAAACTCCAACAAATGGTGCTGGGAAAATCGGACAGCTACCTGCAGAAGAATGAAACTGGATCACTTTCTTACACTATGCACAAAAATAAACTCTAAATGGATTTTTTAAAAAGACCTAAATGTGAGACCTAAAACCATAAAACTCCTAGAAGAAAACATAGTAGTTTCTTTAACACTGGCCTACCAACATTTTTCTAGGTATGTCTCCTTAGGCAGGGAAACAAAAGCAAAAATAAACTATTGGGACTATATCAAAATAAAAAGCCTCTGCACAGTGAAGGAAACCATCAACAAAACGACACAGCAACCTACCGAATGGGAGAAGATATTTGCAAATGATATATCAGATAAGGGGTTAATACTCAAAATATATAAAGAACTTTTACAACTCAACACTCAAATCAAGTAATTCAATTAAAAAGGGGAAGAGGACCTGAATTGACATTTTCCCAAAAAGGACATAGACCTGGCCAACAGACACATGAAAAGAGGCTCAACATCCCTCATCATCAGGGAAATGCAAAACAAAGCTAGAGTGCGATATCACCTCACATCTGTCAGAATGGTTAACATCAAAAAGACAAGAAATAATGAGTGTTGGCAAGCATGTGGAGAAAAAGGAACCTTATGCACTGTTGGTGGGAATGCAAATTGGTACAGCCACTGTGGAGAACAGAATGGAGATTCCTCGAAAAATTAAAAATAGAATTACCGTATCATCCAGTAATTTTCCTACTAGGTATTTACCCCCCAAAACCCGAAAGTGCTAATTTGAAAAGATATATGCACCCCTATGTTTTTGTAGCATATAGTCTTCCAGTGTTTTCATTATCAATAACCAAGATATAGAAGCAACCCAAGAGTCCACTGATAGATGAAAGGATAAAGGAGATATATATAATGGAATATCACCCAGCCATATAAAAAATGAGATTTTGCCATGTGCAACAACATGGCTGGGAGGGTATAATGCTAAGTGAAAGAAGTCAGTCAGAGAAGGACAAAGACCACATGATTTCACTCATATGTGGAAGTTAAGAAAGAAAACAAAGATGAGAAGAGAAATTTAAAAAAAAAGAAAAAGATTCAAATACAGAGAACAAACTGGTGGTTGCCAGAGGGGTGGTGGGTAGGGGGATGGCTGAAATAGGTAAAGGGGATTCAGAGGGCACTTACTGTGATAAGCACTGAGTCATGCAGAGCATTATTGAATCATCATACTGTACATTTGAAATTAATATAACACTGTATGTTAACTATACTTGAATTAAAATAAAAGAGAGGGATCTAGATATTTCATTGTTAAAAGGTTATGTTTTAGCCTCTTTACACCTATAGTAAATCAACCAGAGACTCTCTGTAATTTATTTTTTTAATTTATTATTTTTTGAGACCCTCTGTAATTTAAAAAATCTAATGGGGGCGGCGCCTGGGTGGCTCAGTCGTTAAGAGTCTGCCTTCGGCTCAGGTCACGGTCCCAGGGTCCTGGGATCGAGCCCCGCATCGGGCTCCCTGCTCGGCGGAGAGCCTGCTTCTACTTCTCCTGCTCCCCCTGCTTGTGTTCCCTCTCTCGCTGTGTCTCTCTCTCTCTGTCAAATGAATAAATAAAATCTTTAAAAAAAAAAATCTGATGGAAATCGACAGAAGCCTGGATAAATTATAGTATAGTCACAGAGTGGAACTCTATACAGCTATGAGAATGAATGAACAACAGCTACAGGCAACAGCATGGATGAATCTCATGAATGTGTTGAGTGAAAGAAGCCAACCACAAAAAAATATTAGTATGTGATTCTATAACTCTGTACAAAAGTTTTTTAGAAAGGAAAACTGGTCTATAGTACTATTAGAAGTCAGGATACTGGCTCTTCTTGGTAAGGAAGGAGGGGTAAAGTTTGAAGGGGTACACCGGTGGGCTTCTGCAATAATGATTATATTCTGTTTCTTGATCTGGGCCCGAGTATTGGTTCAGTTTGTGAAAATTCATCAAGCTGTATACTTAGGATATGTGCAGTTTTATATATACATATACAGATATATGTATAACATATAATATACTTAAAGAGAAAAATAAAGCAAAAATAAAATAAACATCAAAAATGTAATATTATATATAAGTGTTGGAATCCTTAAATTCTACTCCTGAAACCAATATTACACTATATGTTAACTAACTAGAATTAAAATAAAAACAAACAAACAAAAAAGACTAAGCCAAAATTACTCAAAGATAATTTCGTCATGTTTTAAGAAGCTATATGTTACTATAGTAACACTGTATGTTAACTAACTAGAATTTGAGTAAAAACAAAAAAAAAGACTAAGCCAAAAGTACTCAAAGATAATTTTGTCATGTTTTAAGAAATTAATATTACATTTTCATTTCAATTATGTTCACCAAGGTTATTCAATCACTGAAGTACACTGGAAGCAAAGTGCAGGGTACTCAATATGACTGGATTACAGAGAGGTAGTTCATTTGAATTTTGTAAAAAGAAAACACCTTTAGTCAATGATTGATTTGTTTAAAGATATTAACTACTAAATATATTAAGAAAATAGTGATTATAATTTCAATGTGTAGAAATATTTACCTTAGCTGATAGAAGGAAAATGCTAAGCAGGATTAAGTTGAATTCTTTTAGGGATAATGATATTTATTGAAAGCATACCATATGCCTGTAACGTGCAAGGCATTGGAATCTTTTGTTACTTCAGTCTTCACTAAAGAATATAAGAAAGGTATTATCTACCCCATTTTGTCAAAAATAAGATTTCAAGAGGATCTTGGCCAAATATGTAGAATCCAGGTCTACATGGTGAGAAAATTGATGGTCTTTCCAATTCCTACTAATATGTCTCATTCCTGGGAGAGCCAGTTAAAAAGAGTCTGGTGGTTAAAAATGGGGGAGAAAGATTTTAAACCAATAGCTTTGTAAGCATAGTAAATGGAATTAAAGTTTGGGGACAGGCTGCTTTTTCAAATATATCATTAGCTTGAACCATATGAAATAGCCATTTTTGTAGGTCAAAATGGTTTAATAATGGCAATTTCATATACTTTTAAACATAGCTTTGATGTCAAACAGTATTATGAAGACATATGCTATATTTTAATACACAAATAATTATAACTGATCTGTAGGGGCTTTTAGGAAAAATAATCAAGAAAAATAAAATAAAATATAGTAAGTTAGAGAGTTCAGGATCTTGGGACAGGGTGCCTGTGTTAAAGCCCACTCCCACCACTTTCCGATTGTGTAAACTGGGGCAAGTTTACTTACTCCTCTGGGCTTACTTGGGAGTAACAGTTTTATCTACCTCCTAAAGTTTTTGAAAATTAAATCAATAACATGTAACACTTAGGACAGTGTCTGGCATGTAGAAAACATTCAATGGCATATTAGCTATTATCTAAATATCAACAGTCACAGCTCCTGTAATTGTAGTCTCATATTTACAAACATCATGGAACACACTGTTGAGTGAATAAAAAGGACAAAATCGAGGCAATGTTTACAAAAGTCTATTCTATACACAGCAATTTTGGGATAACTGGAGATTAAGATCCAGTCCCCAGTGGTACACAATATAGTATCATATTGTTATCAGGTTATTATTTTATGTCACTTGAGAAGGTACCAGTCTAGACAGATCTAGTTCCTTCTGGTTTTCCTAATTCGCATCTTGCTAGCTGTCATTTTGCAAGCACGTGGGCCATCTGTAGAATCCTGAAATCAAGACTTATGGCTATCCTGTAAGCTACATTTTTCTAAATGTGCTTATAGAGATGAAAGGTATCTAGGTAATTCATGTGACTGCTCTGCGGCTGAATTAATAAGGTAATGAGTATGAATGGGGAAAAGGCTGACTGGCTTCTCCACGATTGCTGGCGAGGTAATCAGAGTTGCTCGCTTGTTATGTATAGATTGGCCAGGCTGAGCACACAGTTAGTTACACAGTTGATCAAAGCTAGGAATCTTTTATCTCCTGGGCATGGCACAAAGAACAAAATAAATGTGAATAGACCTAGGAGTAAAATGTAAAAATAGGTCATAACTTGAGAAATATTTGTGATATTTATAAAAAAAAAATCTGAAAGATTTGACAAATATTTGCTCCACAATGTTTAGAAAGAAAATACCACACATGCATTGTTTTGTGTGTGCCAACGGAAGTGATATAGGATCAGTTTTTGAAGTCATGCTTCAAAAATGTAACTCATCTTTAATATACTTATGAATGACCATTGGTTTATTGCCAATATGTGTAGTAGAAAATGTCATGTGCAAAAACCCATTGCTTTATCCCCAGTATCATGTCTGCATTCCAAGAAGAAAGGAATGGTGAGGAACAAGACATTTAATAGCACAAACGTGTAAGCTTAAAAAAGGGAGGGGGGTGGTGCCTGGGTGGATCAGTCTGTTGAGCGTCTGCGTTCTGCTCAGGGCATGACATAAATGATTTGGAATGAGTGACAGCGGAGTACAAACAGGAGCTAGGTATACATATTGATAACACTTCAGTTGCCACTAATTCCCTCTGAACACCTGCTTTTAGCTCTGTTCTGAGCCTTTGTGCAACATTCTCCTGGTATTACAGAACAGCCATCTGCTTTCCCTGTATTACCATATCAGTGATTCCACAGAGGTAATGGATATGAATTAATGTTGACCATGATGTGTAAAGTCCTGTTGTTTCATGTATTTTGTCTGATT